GAATTCTGGGAGTTGAAGTCCACTCATCTTAAAGCGGCCAAGTTTGGACAACACTGCCGTAAGGTGTGTCTCGAAGCAAAGCTATGGGGAGCCTTGGTGGAAAAACACTGCCCATGCTCAGAGACACACTGCAGCCCCCACCCTAGTTTCTACAGACCCCACATCTGGAAGGGGAACACAGGTTGCTGGGAGGGGCCGTCGCTGAATGAGCCGGACCCCTTTCCCGTGGGAAGAAGAGAGAAGAGTTAAAAATGAACCCGTGGCACCTCCAGATTAAATAAATAAATAGCAGCCCGCAGGAACTTTGACCAGGCGTGGCCAGAAGCAGGTTGGAGGGATTCAGTCTGAAGAGTTTCTCTGCACATGCCCAGAGGCTCCCAGGCCACCGAGCCAGGCCTCTGAGAAGAGGGTGCCCCCTCCACCGCCTGTTATTCCTCCCGGCTGCCCTGTCCTGCTTCCCAGTTCCCTGCACGAGCATTTTGGGTCTGTGTGGCGGCGTTAAACCAGGCTTCCCCTGCCAAACAGGTTGGACTGCGGCCCCATCCTCCCCAGCCAGCGTGGCCGACGTCCAGCACCCCGAAAGCCGCCCCAAAGCCAGCCGGGGGCTGCCCCGGCCTCTTGCAGCGCGTCCCACCCCGCAAAGGCCTCCCACGCCTGCAGTTGTCCAGAGGCGCCGCTTGGCTGCGGTTGCCGAGCAACCAGATCCTGCACGGCTGCGGGATCCCTCTGAGCAGGTAGGCCCGGCTGCTGGCTGCGAGGGCGGGGAAGGCGCAGGGCCCGTGCCAGCTGCGCCTCCTCCTGCTTGGGGCACTGGGCGGCCTGGCCGTGCGAGCGCGCGAGTGAGCAAGCGTGCACACGGCCTCGGAGCCATTGCACACGAGGCACGCAACCCCTGCAGGCGGGGGCAGACCCAGCCGAGCACGGGCGGCCAGGGCACCCCTTTGCCCTCGCCCGTAGCTCTGCTGAAGGCGTTTCCACCCCTGATGCAGCATCTCCTCTTCAGTGAGCAGCCTGGCTGCTTTTTTCTTCCTTTCCCCCCCTATTTTTCACATGAATGTGAAAGACGGTGCATTAAGAAGACAGGAATGCTGAAATCTACAGAAATCTGGCGGTGTTCCAAACTTCTTCCCAAAGCACACCAGCGTCCTTATTTTTTGTGGCCAATTCCTGGAAATTAACTATGGTATCCCACTGGCCTGGTTCACACACCTGGTTAAGCTGTCATTTGCTAAAATTACGTTATCTGGTCGAGTGTGATGACGGGGATCACATGTCCTTGGAAAAAACAAAGGACCAACCTGAAAAAGGGGCAAATCTGAAAGGTTCATCAGGATAAAGAAAATTAATTGTTGATGTTTACAACTGCTTTGCAAAGGGAAATTCGAGAGCAAGGAAAGCTTTACAAAAATGCCTGTTCTAATCAAAATATCCAAAATCAAAAGGTATGCGTGAATTTATTCTAAAAAGACAATTCAATTTCCCTATTTTTCGCATGAATGTGAAAGACTGTGCATTACGTGTAAGGTATCTGTACAGTAAAACTTAAATGACCAAAATAAAGGACAAAAGCCACTTTCTGAAAGACAAATACATCTAAAGGAGAGCTTTCTGGAATCAAGTCCTTTATAGTAAAGGATGCATCATATCTGTGATGCAAGAATTCAACCCATTGCAGTTTAGTTCACAAACCATGGCTTAAAACCAGGTGTGAATCCGCCTCTTTCCTTTCGTGCTTTCCTTGTCAGAATTTCTCTTGCCATATTAATTCTCCACGGTTTCGCTCCTTGTCCAGGGTTGCAGGGCTCCGTCACGCAGGTTCCCAAAATCTTGGCTCGAACGTTAGTGTTAATGTTCCCTGCCAGCCTTTGGCAACTTGGATTACAAGCCCATAATCCCCAACTGACTGGTGAAGCTGTGTGCATCCTGCGAACTGCCTGCCATTTCATACCCTGTGCTTGAGGAGATGCGCTGATGACCTCTTTGTAGGATAAATACTGATTATTTGGCTAGCCTATTTAATGCAAATCTACCCTCTCTTCCTTAAAATTTGCCAGTAGAAAATTTGCCAGTAG